ATATTTAAAACTTAAGATTTTATAGATTTCTTAAAAATACATGATTTTTGATGAGAAGTGACTTGGAGCACCATATATTGAATATTTTTAATAAATTCTTCAGATAATGAACTATTATTGTCATGCAATAGTGCACTTATGGGGTCTTTTGGTCAGTTTCCACTTAGGTTTTGCACTTACTTGGCACTGGTGTATCGTACCAAGTCTTCTACCAATATTACTACGATGTTGACCACACAGTTTTTCCTTTAGAACGTTTTTCCACTAAGCTAAAACTTTGTTATCTTTATTATTATTAGAGATCGCTAAATTTAAATACAAGATTATCTCTGGATATATTATTACCCAGGTTACACACATTATGCAATTCTACAATTAGACTCTAAATTACTTTTATGCATCTACTAATTCGATAATCACGCAATTCATGCATCAACGATTATGCCATTCATGCAGATCTGAATCATGCCACTTATGCACCCTGATCCTAATCCAGCACCACGAAATCCCAGTCCCGATCGGGTGATCTGTGATCGTACCTAACCCTAACAATATCAATACAAGGGGTGTTGGTCATCACTATGACAATTATCATTATCATTATTATTATAATCTAGTACAATATTATTGTCACTACTTTTATTGCCTGAAGTTGTAGCTAGTTTTTCTGGATTCAAAGCTGTCATTTTGGCAGTTGATGTTTGATAATGTTTTTTTGATAAAAATGATAAGTCATCTATATCAAGGCTAGATAGAAGTTCATTATCAAGGCCAGATTGAAGTTCATTATCTGACCTTGAATTGATTGTTGTTATCGATTGTTGACTCAGGCCACTTAATTTTGAAGCAATCAGGGTTGGTTGCCTTAATTCATTAAATCCTGTTTGAGACAACTGTTGGCTAGTAGTTAAAGTATATCGATTTTTTGTACAAGGATCAACTAATTTGTCATTATATTTTTGGCAATAGCAGTTAATAGTTATATGTATTCTATGGGTTAAAGTAGATGATAATTGAGTAGCCAAAGTGGATAAATCTTGGTTAATGGTTTTTAAAATATCCTTTGCACTTTGTTTTTGAGATATTTTAGAGAAAGAGATTGAAAGATTAAAAAAGATTGAGAGGTTAAGAAAAAGAGAGGGAGAGATTAAGAAATAGAGAGAGAGAGATTAAGAGAGATTAAGAGATAAAGAAAGAGAGATTAAGTGAGGTTAAAAGATAGTGGAAGAGAGATTGAGAGAGGTTAAGAGACAAAGAGAGAAATTGAAAGGTTGAGAGATTAAAAAGATTGAGAGAGAGATTAAGAGAGAGATTGAGAGTAGTTTTTAAATGAATAAGTTACTATCATAAGCAACAAGCTGTTTCTTTATAACAGTAGCACATATTTATAAGAAATTTATTTTTTATATTATACTCTACTATGATATATTTTAATTTGATACTTGATTATAAAGTCGAATGTGGTTCAATTATTTATTGTAAAGCTAATTATAATATGCTTTAGTTTGATATTTTGATTACAAAGTCAAATGTGGTTTAATTTTTTTATTGTAAAGCTGATTATGACACGCTTTAATTTGCTACTTGATTATAAAATCAAATGTAGTTCGATTTTTTATTGTAAAGCTGATTATGACATGCTTTAATTTGATAAGTCAATTGTGATTTGATTTTTTATTCTATATAGTCAAATATGGTTCAATTTTTTCTGATTATTACATGCTTTAATTTTATTATGAAGCTAATTATGTAGTGAAATATGGTTCAATTTTTCTAGTAAAGCTGATTATAATACACTTTAATTGATACTATTATAAAGTAGAATACAGTATGAATTTTATAATAAAGCTAATTACGTAGTTGAATATAGTTTGATTTTTTTATTGTAAAGCTAATTATGACATGCTTTAATTTTATAATGAAGCTGATTACATAGTTGAATATAGTTCGATTTTTTATGCAAAAATGATTATAATATGCTTTAATTGAATATAGCATGAATTTTATAGTGAAGCTGATTACGTAGTCAAATATAGTTCGATTTTTATGTAAAGAAAATTATGACACACTTTAATTGATACTATTATAAAGTAGAATATAGTATGAATTTTATAATAAAGCTGATTAGTAGTTAAATATAGTTTGATTTTTTATGCAAAAATAATTATAACATGCTTTAATTTAATATAGCATGAATTTTATAGTGAAGCTGATTATATAGTCAAATATAGTTTGATTTTTTATGTAAAGAATATTATGACATACTTTAATTGATCCTATTAAAAAGTAGAATATAGCAAGAATTTTATAATGAAGCTGATTAGTAGTCAAATATAGTTTGATTTTTTATGTAAAAATACTATTATAAAATAGAATACAGTATGAATTTTATAATAAAGCTGGTTATGTAGTTAAATATGGTTCGATTTTATTTAATTTAATTCAATTTCTGAATTTTTGACTTATTTAAGTCGAATTATTTTAGAAATTAGCGGGGTTGAATTTTATAAAATTTATCTGTCTCGATTTATTAAAGAGAATGGCATAGTCGAATTTGTTTAAATTAGACTGCCAAATTTTTTGACTAAATTTAGGTCAATTTATTGAAGAGATTGGCATAGTCAAATTTGATTAAAATTCAGCAGTTGAATTTTAGATTGATTTATTGAAGAGATTAGCATAGTCAAATTTGATTAAAATTCAGTTGCCAAATTTTTGACCAATTTAGATTGAATTGTTGAAGAAATTGATGTGAATGAATTTTATTAAAATTTGATTGTTGATTTTTTGACTAAATTAGATCGAATTTTTGAAGAAATCGATATGGACAAATTTTATTAAAATTTGGTTGTTGAATTTTTGACTAAATTAGATTGAATTTTTGAAGAAATCAACGTGGATGAATTTTATTAAAATTCAGTTGTCAAATTTTTGACTAAATTAGGTTGAATTAATGTTGAAGTTGCTGAATGTTAAAAAATTCAGCTGATTTGTTACCAAATGTTATTGTAATTTGACCGGGTCGAATTCATAGTTTTCGACTAGTGTAAGTAACCCATTACAGTTCAAATTTGTGGGTAATATTTAATGATTTTAACAAAATCATAGATTTGCAAAATATGCTACATATTTTAAAAAATTATTTAAAAAGATAATCTGAACATTATTCACATGAAATAAGCGATTTTAATATAATAGATAGATTAGATAATAATAATAAATAAATGAAAAACTTTTATAAAATTAAAATTGGAGGTTTAGGTTGCAAATAATTTTGTCTGAGTCTAGTCGTAGTATCCCTTAGATATGGAGTTCAAATGTAATTTCTTTTCTGTATATATTTCTTATAAAAAGTTCAGTTGAGTTTAATAAAGATAGAAGCATAGCCTCACCTTTTAAGATTAAAAAAAAAATAAAATTAAGTTTATGTTTTTTTTTTACATTCTTGCGTGTTCAATCTTAAACAAATTTTCAGGGTCATTATTAGCATTATCAATGAACAAAGTATGTCTTCCCCGAGCTATCACTTTTCTATCGGCTTTATTGCGCATCTCTACAATGGTAAACGCGAGTTTTTTATCAAGCTTTATACATTCTGCATCCTAAAAATAAGATAATGCCTACAAATTACTAATTAAACCGTTGTATGAAAAATCTCTCAGAAGAAAAATTTTTACCACAAGTAAAGTATCTCCATTTCCCACTGATCCGAGATATGAAACATTTATATCTGTACTAACTCCTGCATGGTGCATTCCTTTAGAGTATATTGCTAGCGATCCACAAACGTCGGTCAATAATGCCAACATTCCTCCACTAACAGTTTGCATGTGATTCTATTGCATTAATTGTTAAACTTTTTAATCGAATTGATTCAACTTATTGGAACTTTAAAATATTAGAATAAAGACTTTTTATACCAGATGATGTTCTTGAATAAGAATTTCGGCACTAACTTTACCATCCACTGTATTTGTTATTGCCAGCTATTTTTTTTTTTTTTTGGTAAAAAAAAAAAAAGTGAAATGGGATATATTTTTGGTTATTATTCATAATAATACCGTATATATAAAGTACATCAAGTTTCATCGAAAAAAACACTAAACATCTTTCTTAAGCTTATCAAAAGTTGTTCCGCCCTCGAGATGTTGGTGAAACATTTTGCGAACCCAAATCGTTCTATCATCAGTAATTTCTGTTAATTCCATAATTCAGATGAAAGCCTGTAAATAATTTAATGTAGTTTCGTTCGTGAAATATTCTTTTATAGTGTTATAAAAATCAAAAAATATATTCAGCGCCCGTCAAAAGTATCCCCCTTTAGATCCCCTAAAATCATGCGTAGCAAATGCAGATCCCACATATTCTACAGATCAATCAATAGATCCTCTTATGGGGATCGTCTAAAGCCGGGTAGTTTTTAAGTTGATTAATAATAAATTTGTAAAGTAAATTCGCGCGAGGCATATAAATTACTACCTGGTTCTAGACGATCTCCTTTTGTGGATATCTACCGATTTTTTTTTTATATAAAATTTTTCAACAACTAAGTAACCAATTTTAATCTTAAGAACTCTTTTGAATTCTATAGTTTTGTAGAATTCAAAAAAGCCATTAATCATCGAAATTGGTTGCTTCGTTGTTGAGATGTCTTTGCTAAAAACTACTAAAAATTGAATATATCTCAATAATGGTGTGACCATATCTGATGTTTATCAAATTGAACACAACGTTGCTGAGATATACGCATTTGAACCTTTAAGGGAAACATGTCAAAATTTGGGCTAGGTACTGAGAAAAGAGCCAAATTGACAATTTTTTAAAAGAATTTTTTACATAAATCAATTTAGAATAAGATTAGGATTATTTTTACTTAAAGATAGTTGTATTAATAAAATTTTGCGGTATAGCTCTTTAACATAATTTTCTTATAATTTATTATCTCTTTTTTTTGTCAATTTGGGCCCTTTTCTCAGCACCTATACCATTTAAATTTCTTTATGTGGTTTGTGAGTTAATTTCACAAGTATAATTTTATTGGCTGATTGTCACATGTTTGCGAATATAACTAATCATAAAGCATTATTCAATTTCATGTAATCTACTAAGCACGAGAAAGGCAGGCAACCGGGTATTATAAAATAAATTCGAATTAAAATCCGATCTTAATGCAGATTCAAACGAAATCCGGTTTCAAACTCAAGGTATGACTTGATTGCTTAGTAATCAATGATTGGTTGTATTTAAAATTACTGTAAAAAAAATTACTTTTGATTAGAACCGGATATTGTTTGAACTGAATTTATTTTAATTAGTGAAATTCTGCTTCGATTATAAATTTGAATTAAGTTTAAATCCGAATTTGCTTTATTCCAATAATTACTTTATTACTCAAATTCAAAAAAAATATCGACAATAGCATCATTGTATGTACGTACATACATATAAAAACATTCGATTATTTAAGAGCAAGAACTATTTTATCGTTATAGAAATTCTATAAGTGGTCGTTCCCTATGCGTTTGTGCAGACAATGTGAGCACTGCATATTAGGTAGTTTCAGTTTTGTACCCGAATTTAAATCGAATTCAAAGGAAGTTGAATTTAAATCCGAAGGTCGAATCCGGTTCTAAACTCTACTTATGATTGCATTGATACAATAGATATCTTTGTATTACCTAAGATTTTGATGATGTTCTAAACAATTGCCTATCTTAAAAACTTTAGATTGGCCTTGATTCAAACTAAAATTTTGGATTCAGCCGGTTTTGGTTCAATCCCGGATCAGAGTTTTTAATCCGAATCAGATCACTGACTTAAATGGATCTAGAATTATACATCAAGAGTAAATGTGTACTTAATAGCCACTACAGAATTTAGCTTACGTATCTTCAATGAATCAGTTGATCTCTATTTTATATTAGGTGATCGATTTACTAAATCGTATAATCTCTATTGAATTTAATAAGTTAGGAAATATTAACTTTTAATATTTTACCAAGGACACCTCAATATATGCCATACTAATGCGGTTTAAGGTTAAGCTTGATGTGTGTTGCTGATAATTTCTAAATTAAAGAATTGATTGTTGTCGCGGATGATCGCGATGCTGAAATCTGGGCCTCAATTTTAAACATAAGACCTGCTAAAATCTACATATATTTTTTAATTATAAATTCTACCTTAAATTCTAACCTAACCCGGTAAAAAACTTTAAATTTTCATATCAAAATAGGGCCAAATTTCAGCATCATCTGATTTCAGTATTATCCGTGATAATTGTTATCAGTGAGGAAATATTATGCTCTCAATGTTCTCTGAGAACATCAATTTTCCAATTTTTTATTAATAAACATATAAAAAAAAATTGCCTGAGAACATTAAAATCGATTTAGATTTCCAACACTGATTGTCATTACGGTTGTCGAATCTTTATTTTGGTGTATCCCGCATTATTATGCAATCGAATTGTAAATCTGGTCCTATAGCACCTCCTTCCCACTATATTATATCTTATATAATAAAAGGGTTGCTTATTTCGGAAGTATCTTAAATAGCCATATTGATATATAGGGAATGGACTAGGAAAACCACACCATCTGAAAGTAAGTGTCAGGCGGTGGTTTCATAGTCCATTTTCCATATATGAATTAGTCAGGGCGGCCCCCAAAGTGCTGGTGGTGTAAATCATATGTTTATTATTTACGATTACTTAATATTACTTAATATAAACAATCACTTAATAATTTAGTATTATCTAATTGGCGGAAATGATTTATGTCACCAGCACTTTGGGGACCGCCCTAGCTAATTCTATCGATATAGAGACCAGGTATGTTATATTCTATCAATTAAAAAATCTGAACTATACGCGGGAGTATATTGCTCGAATACAGTGCTTGTCAAAAGTATTCCCCCTAAAATCATGCGTAACACCTCAAAATTTTTTGTGCACAAAGAATACCATGAAGCACTTAGATCAACCAATCACATGAATGTTTACCCGGGTATATCAGGTAAATTTACTACACGGGTATATCCGTCGATCACCCGGGTAAACCGCGGTTTACTCATCGGATATCCGGGTAGCATGAATGGGTTCAAAACGTTTTACAGAATTAGAAATATTCTAGATCATGTGCTACTGGGGTGTGCGATGTACTAAGTAAATCAAACTATGTGATCATATAATAAAATTTATTAATGAAGATTTTTCGACAGATAATAAATTTTGGGAGCGCCTATTTCCACCATGGACATTTGCTATTTCCACCATGCTGCAATGCTTTCCATATAACTTTCAGCTACATGAACGTGACGAGCATACTGTGAAAATGTTATGCGTCATTTCTCAATTTATGTCAATTATTAATTGACGAATGTCATTTTTTCAATTTGAAAATAGCATACATTTTAGGGAACCACTTTGAAATCATGCTTACGTAGCTGAAAGTCATGTGAAAAGCATGGTGGAAATAGCAAATTTTCATGGTGGAAATAGGCGTTCCCTAAATTTTATACGTAATAATTATTAAATATTTTTAAACAGATGCGCAGCCTTAGCGGCCCGACAGTTTTGGATAAAATTTTACAAAGACAAGTATTACGTCTCTACAAACAAATCTATAGTGCCATGTTGTTTATTCAATGTGAAAAAATTTCAATATACTATTATTTTTTCCTTAAAAAAGTCAAGTAGAAAGAACTTATTTAGTTCCTTTTTTTAAAGAAATAGTACTAGAATTCTGTTTGTAGAGACGTAATACTGATCTTTGTAAAGTTTTATCCAAAACTGTCGAGCCGTTAGGGCTGTGCATCTATTTAAAAATTTTTAATAAGTTTTGATTTACATAGTACACTGCACACCCCAATATGCTACGTGATTACAAATTTTCACATGACGGTACTTCAGAAATAAGCACACTTTTTTGTTATAGAACAGGACGATTATTTTCAGAATATAACTGCAGATCTACTATTCAATTGCATAATAATGTAGGATACATACACACCAAAATAAAGATACAACAACTGTGACAATTATCAATGATTGTTCATATGCTGAATATCATGATTATTCTTTAATTTATAAATCATCAGCAACACACATCAAGCTTAACCTTAGATCAAATTAGTATGGCATACATTGAGGAGTCTTTGGTAAAACATTAGAAGTTAATATTTCCTAAATTGTTAACTTCAATAACGATAGGTTTTTAATAAATCGATCACAAAATATAGAATAAGAATCAACTGATTTATTGAAGATAAGCCAAATTAAGGGTAGATCATTTTTCATATGAACTACATGGTATTTTAAAAATATACTATAAAATTAAAAGTTGTCATTAATAAAATTTTTTCAAATTACAATTAATTTTTATTAAATTTTTATAATATATAAATAAAATTATTTATCTCTTATAGTAAAATTTTAACTATTATATCTTATAAAAAATATACTTATATATATAAGAAAAATTTTTCGAGTAAGCTTAAAACTTTCAAATTATACAAAATTATTAATTTTGATTAGTTAATTTATATAAAGCTATAAGATAAATTAAATTTAATATTAAAATTTTATATCTAATTTTTAAAACTTTATATCTTATTAAGTTTTTAACCAATTTTAATAAATTTACAATAATTAGAATCAGAAAATCTACTCTACAAATTTAGTATAATAGTTAAAATTAGTTTATTTAATAAAATTTTTATAAAATTAAAATAAAAAATTTGCTATTAAGTTTATATATAATTTTAAAATAGTACTGTCTGCTTTAAAATTAATTATATATTACTTTTAATATATAGTAGATCTTTTACTTTATTAAGGCTAATTATTGAAATAAATTTCTGAAATGCTAAAATCAAAAATGTTTTGATTACTAATATGTAAATACTAGTTTTTGATTAAAATAATCAATATTTACAGATCATAATATATTAATAAATATAAAATTTGTGTAGAATTTTGTATATAATATAAAATTAAAAATTTTTACAGGAAATTAATATCAGAGACCAAAAAATTTTTTCCGATTTAGTATTAGTTTATTAATGTTGTAACTCAAATAGACTAAATATTAGATTCAATTGTCTAGATATTTTTTAGTTATATAAATTATTTAAAAAATTATTTTAGTTAATATTGTTTAGTTTATTTTATTATCTAATTATAGAAATTTTATATTAAATTTCTATT